GATCTGCTAGACCTTGGGCCAAAGAGGGTCGACCTGCAAACTTGCAAGGTTTATTTTAAATACGCATTACAGTGTTTTCTATTCTAATGTAATTCTGCAAATGTAATTCAGCTTTTAACATTTTTCTAGGTAGTAAAAATGCTCAAGACGAGTAGGCCCAGAGAGTTTTTCCAAATGACAGATGCTAGTTCCTTAGTTGTCTGAAATGAGTTTTGACTTCAGCAGGGCCTCACATGCACTGGTTGCTGCAGCTGTTTGGTGATACCTGTTTTCTTTAACCTAAACCCAGGTCCCGGTCTAGATCGCGCTCGAGGTCCCGAGGAAGGAGGTATTCTCGGTCACGCAGTCGGAGCCGTGGTAGGAGGTGTGCTTCAGTTTGTCTTTTATTCCTGTTTTCTTGTTCTGGTTAGAAAAAGCTGCACTTGTACAACTCTTTAATTGATTTTTTGGCAGGTCCAGGTCAGCTTCCTATCGTAGGTCCCGGTCCGTTTCTCCTCGTAGGTCTAGGTCCGTGTCTCCCCGCCGGTCCCGATCGGGTTCTTTGAAGAGATCAAGGTAATTAGTAGAAATTTTTAAAATACTGTGTGCTTTACTTTTGTTGGAATTTTCTGATTTAATTAGGTTTTGGATAGCAGACTTCAAAAGGTGTTGAGCTCTAGAAGTCAGCTTCTTAAAAAGTTTCTGATAATCCTAAGCAAATTCACTGGCATGGTAATTCAGTGAGTTTTGGGACTTTACACAACAGCATCTCCCATAATGAATTTCTATGTGCAAAATGTAGCTTTTAAGTTCAAGATGTGACATTAATTTATGTAGCGCTGTAATTGTCGTCGCTTCTGGTTGAGTTGACTAATTTTTCATTGATCTTAATTTTTTTATTTCAGGTCTAGATCAAGATCCAGGTCTAGGTCAAGATCTGTTACGTGGCCCCGAAGCAGGTAAGATCTCTTCTGTGACTGCTGATACTTGGTAAGAGTTGCTTTAAAGTCTGTTTAGGCTCTCTAACAACTGTTAACTTTTTTTGAAAAAGTTGCATTTTCTCTGCACTAACTTAGATGTTTGTAGTTTTAAAAAGCAATGCAGAAGATTGTTCTTTCTCTTTTTATTGTTTTGCATGGCACTGTCATCCAGGTCTCTGTAGTCATCACAAGTACTGGTTTGATCGGGTTGCATTAACAGCTAACAGAGCAAACACTTATCTTAAAAGTTTATTTTTTTTTGCGTAGCACACACAAGATTGTAGATTCTTCCTATTATTTTTGCGAGAAATCAGGATGCCGTTTTGGTAGTGTATTAATGCATTAATGTATGCAGCCAGGCAAGTCCAGAAGGGCTTAGTAGTGCCCTGAGTGCTGCAGATGTAATTCCAACTCTGTTGAATAACAAAGTGTCTGTCTGCAGGAGCTGACTTTTATTTGAGATACACACCAATGAGAATTACTCTGTACCAATAAATGTGTCATAAGAGTAATGATCAAATTTTAGAGGAACACAAGATGTCATCTGTTCTCTTAAATTCTAGTTCATAGTAAGTAAATGCAGCTGGTGCTTCATGGAGCCCTGTCCAGGCAGTGTGCTTGACACGCTGGATGTGCTGGATGGACTGTCAGGAGAACAAGAGTAAATGGAAGTTCTGCTCTGGAGATGGTGCTGCTTATGCCCCCAGCCCATCCCCGTGCCTGCTGTCCTGGTTTGGTGGCTGCTCTTTGAAACAAGTAACATAATGGTTAACCATGAAGAAACATAGAAAAATAAAGGGAAGCTTTTAGCTGAAGGGAGAAGTGGAAAAGCCTAAAGCTGAAGGTGGCATTTTCTGAGAATGGAACAGCAAGCAATCACAGAATTTTTGAGGGAAAGGAGGTGAAGACCAGAAGATGGCTTAATTAAGAGCAGAAGCT